TTATACCAGACACAAATGACACTGTTATACACGAATGACACTGTTTAGATGACACACTGTTATACCAGACACAAATGACACTGTTATACGAAACACTTAGATGACACTGTTATACCAGACACACAGATGACACTGTATACCAGACGATGACACTGTTATAGATGACACGCTGTTATACCAGACACAAATGACACTGTTATGAACACTTATGACACTGTTATACCAGACACAAATGACACTGTTATACCAGACACAAATGACACTGTTATACGAAAAACTTAGATGACACTGTTATACGAAACACTTAGATGACACTGTTATACGAAACACTTAGATGACACTGTTATACCAGACACAAATGACGCTGTTATACCAGACACAAATGACGCTGTTATACCAGACACAAATGACACTGTTATACGAAACACTTAGATGACACTGTTATACGAAACACTTAGATGACACTGTTATACCAGACACAAATGACACTATTATACCAGACACAAATGACGCTGTTATACCAGACACAAATGACACTGTTATACGAAACACTTAGATGACACTGTTATACGAAACACTTAGATGACACTGTTATACGAAACACTTAGATGACACTGTTATACGAAACACTTAGATGACACTGTTATACCAGACACAAATGACGCTGTTATACCAGACACAAATGACACTGTTATACGAAACACTTAGATGACACTGTTATACGAAACACTTAGATGACACTGTTATACGAAACACTTAGATGACACTGTTATACCAGACACAAATGACACTGTTATACCAGACACAAATGACGCTGTTATACCAGACACAAATGACACTGTTATACCAGACACAAATGACGCTGTTATACCAGACACAAATGACACTGTTATACCAGACACAAATGACACTGTTATACCAGACACAAATGACACTGTTATACCAGACACAAATGACACTGTTATACGAAACACTTAGATGACACTGTTATACCAGACACAAATGACGCTGTTATACTAGACACAAATGACACTGTTATACGAAACACTTAGATGACACTGTTATACCAGACACAAATGACACTGTTATACCAGACACAAATGACACTGTTATACCAGACACAAATGACACTGTTATACGAAACACTTAGATGACACTGTTATACCAGACACAAATGACACTGTTATACCAGACACAAATGACACTGTTATACGAGACACAAATGACGCTGTTATACCAGACACAAATGACACTGTTATACGAAACACTTAGATGACACTGTTATACGAAACACTTAGATGACACTGTTATACCAGACACAAATGACACTGTTATACCAGACACAAATGACACTGTTATATCAGACACAAATGACACTGTTATATCAGACACAAATGGCACTGTTATATCAGACACAAATGGCACTGTTATACCAGACACAAATGGCACTGTTATACCAGACACAAATGACACTGTTATACCAGACACAAATGACACTGTTATACCAGACACAAATGACGCTGTTATACCAGACACAAATGACACTGTTATACCAGACACAAATGACGCTGTTATACCAGACACAAATGACGCTGTTATACCAGACACAAATGACGCTGTTATACCAGACACAAATGACACTGTTATACCAGACACAAATGACGCTGTTTATACCAGACACTGTTAAATGACACTGTTATACCAGACACAAATGACGCTGTTATACCAGACACAAATGACGCTGTTATGACAAATGACACTGTTATACCAGACACAAATGACGCTGTTATACCAGACACAAATGACGCTGTTATACCAGACACAAATGACGCTGTTATACCAGACACAAATGACGCTGTTATACCAGACACAAATGACGCTGTTATACCAGACACAAATGACGCTGTTATACCAGACACAAATGACGCTGTTATACCAGACACAAATGACGCTGTTATACCAGACACAAATGACGCTGTTATACCAGACACAAATGACACTGTTATACCAGACAAATGACTGTTATACCAGACACAAATGACACTGTTATACCAGACACAAATGACGCTGTTATACCAGACACAAATGACACTGTTATACCAGACACAAATGACGCTGTTATACCAGACACAAATGACACTGTTATACCAGACACAAATGACGCTGTTATACCAGACACAAATGACACTGTTATACGAGACACAAATGACACTGTTATACCAGACACAAATGACACTGTTATACGAGACACAAATGACACTGTAACGTGAGACACCAAAACGACAATGCGACTCGTTAACAGCATAATACCAGAAATTCAAACTGCCTCTGAAGATCAGAAAACAGAAGAATCTGCTGTAAAAACACACACACACACACACACACACACACACACGCGCACACACACACACAATCAAATTCAGAATTTCGCAAGAGACTAGGAATCAAAAAGACTAGCGAAAAACAAAACAAAAAAGATGTTAATGTACTAGGGTGGAGAAGCCCTTAGTACCAAGATAAAAAAAAGGAAAATAGTTCGTTTAGGTGGGGACTAGAAACAGGGATTTTCTAGTCCAGACACAAGATCTTCTGTGTAAAGTCTAATAAGCCAGGTAACAAATAAACAAACTACGCACACTAGCCACAAGTACTAATCCGAATCAAAAAGCTGGGACTTTCATTATCACATTCACATCTATTTATTTCACTGAACATCATCTAAGGTCTTCACAAATAATAATGCATTAAAATTCACAACGTGCTCGAAAATACCCTACAATAGATGGAACCTATCTTTCTCTACTCATCTCAACCCACGTTGCGTAGAATCATTGAACGCAACGGACAAATCAAAACTACATGTTTCTCGTCCTAAAACCAGGGAGCCTAAGAGGGCGAAAATGGTCACTCCGGTCTGTTTTATCACTTCCTGACCCCCCAAGGTGGCCAGGTTTTTAGGTCGCTTAAATAGGCCTAATTCAATTTATGTAACAGTCGTCCAGCGCCTATTTCATTAAGAATCTAGACAACTGAAATATTTCCACCACATATGCGATATTAAAACAATTACCATTTGTTGCTGCATATCATTTACATGATGCTGCGTAAGTAATTTGTACATTTAGCTGACTGTATTTTATTGAAATACTAGCTGTACCCGGCCATGCGTTGCTGAGAGAAGAAATACATTCTATAATACAATCTGGAAATAAAGTATACTATGCCCTTCAACATCTGCTAAAGTCAAAATCTCTGTCTCGCAACATCAAGATCAAAATATATAAAACGTTTATAAGACCAGTCGTGTTATATGGCTCTGAAAATTGGAGCACAACTAAAAGAGATGAAGCCTTATTACAGGTTTCGAAAACAGAGTCTTACGACGAATCTTTGGACCCATCAAGATGCAAACAGCGGTGAATGGAGAGGGAGGCCACGAGATAGACCAAGAAGACGATGGAGAGATAATGTCCAGACAGACCTGCAAACACTTGGTGTTTCTAACTGGAAAGAGAAGGTCAACCAGAGAGATGAGTAGAGGCGGGTGATATCTGCAGCAATGAACTTCAAGGGCTCGGAATTCTGAATAATAATAATAATAATAATAATAATAATTAGAAGAAGAAAAAGAAGAAGAAGAAGAAGAAGAAGAAGAAGAAGAAGAAGAAGAAGAAGAAGAAGAAGAAGAAGTAGAAGAAGAAGAATAAGAAGAAGAAGAAGAAGAAGAAGAAGAAGAAGAAGAAGAAGAAGAAGAAGAAGAAGAAGAAGAAGAATTACACTTATATATAATTTCATTCATACATGACATCTCTATTTATGATTTAATTCATACATGACATCTCCTATTTATGATTTAATTCATACATGACATCTCCTATTTAAGATTTCATTCATACTTGGCATCTTGTATATATAACTCCACCAATGCATTATTTCTCCTTAATATCATTTCATTCATTTGTGATTTCTCCTATCATTGATTTCATCCGTACACGATTTCACCAGTGTCAGCTACTTACCAAAGAAAACAGCCCACAAGGCAGCCATACCCACCGCCAGAGCTGACTCCTGTGAGCCGGGTCTCTCAGCATGGAAAGCAAGGATGGGTTTGACTCTGTGTCAGCGGAGGAGATCCCATATTTACGGGTTGACTTCTCATGTAATTCCATCTTCAAGGAAACGAGGCTCTGTTGTACAGAGCCAGGCAGTGTGTGCGTTTTCATCAGCGTCAACTCCAACACTTGCCTGGCTCTCACCTGTATCTCAATGTGAAGTTATCACTGAGATAGGTTATCAGCTGATGACTGATTGTATAGATGCCCTCATAGCTACGACACACACACATTAACACATACGTACACACACACACACACGTCAACACGTTTAGATGCTCCCAAAGCTGCGACACCCACATTTACACATACACGTACACACCCACATTTACACATACACGTACGGACACTTAGATGCCCCCATAACTGCGACACCCACATTTACACATACACGTACACACCCACATTTACACATACACGTACGGACACTTATATGCCCTCATAAGTGCGACACCCACATTTACACATACACGTACGGACACTTAGATGCCCTCATAAGTGCGACACCCACATTTACACATACACGTACGGACACTTAGATGCCCTCATAAGTGCGACACCACACATTTACACACATACACGTACGGACACTTAGATGCCCTCATAAGTGCGACACCCACATTTACACATACACGTACGGACACTTAGATGCCCTCATAAGTGCGACACACACATTTACACATACACGTACGGACACTTAGATGCCCTCATAAGTGCGACACACACATTTACACATACACGTACGGACACTTAGATGCCCCCATAAGTGCGACACACACATTTACACATACACGTACGGACACTTAGATGCCCCCATAAGTGCGACACACACATTTACACATACACGTACGGACACTTAGATGCCCCCATAAGTGCGACACACACATTTACACACACACGTACGGACACTTAGATGCCCTCATAAGTGCGACACCCACATTTACACATACACGTACGGACACTTAGATGCCCTCATAAGTGCGACACACACATTTACACATACACGTACGGACACTTAGATGCCCTCATAAGTGCGACACACACATTTACACATACACGTACGGACACTTAGATGCCCCCATAAGTGCGACACACACATTTACACATACACGTACGGACACTTAGATGCCCCCATAAGTGCGACACACACATTTACACATACACGTACGGACACTTAGATGCCCCCATAAGTGCGACACACACATTTACACATACACGTACGGACACTTAGATGCCCTCATAAGTGCGACACCCACATTTACACATACACGTACGAACACTTAGATGCCCTCATAAGTGCGACATCCACATTTACACATACACGTACGGACACTTAGACGCCCTCATAAGTGCGACACCCACATTTACACATACACGTACGGACACTTAGATGCCCTCATAAGTTCGACACCCACATTTACACATACACGTACGGACACTTAGATGCCCTCATAAGTGCGACACACACATTTACACATACACGTACGGACACTTAGATGCCCTCATAAGTGCGACACACACATTTACACATACACGTACGGACACTTAGATGCCCTCATAAGTGCGACACACACATTTACACATACACGTACGGACACTTTTGATGCCCTCATAAGTGCGACACACACATTTACACATACACGTACGGACACTTAGATGCCCTCATAAGTGCGACACACACATTTACACATACACGTACGGACACTTAGATGCCCTCATAAGTGCGACACACACATTTACACATACACGTACGGACACTTAGATGCCCTCATAAGTGCGACACACACATTTACACATACACGTACGGACACTTAGATGCCCTCATAAGTGCGACACCCACATTTACACATACACGTACGGACACTTAGATGCCCTCATAAGTGCGACACACACATTTACACATACACGTACGGACACTTAGATGCCATCATAAGTGCGACACCCACATTTACACATACACGTACGGACACTTAGATGCCCTCATAAGTGCGACACCCACATTTACACTTACACGCACGGACACTTAGATGCCCTCATAAGTGCGACACCCACATTTACACATACACGTACGGACACTTAGATGCCCTCATAAGTCCGACACCCACGTTTACACATACACGTACGGACACTTAGATGCCCTCATAAGTGCGACATCCACATTTACACACACACGCACGGACACTTAGATGCCCTCATAAGTGCGACACCCACATTTACACTTACACGCACGGACACTTAGATGCTCCCATAAGTGCGACACCCACATTTACACATACACGTACGGACACTAAGATGTCCTCATAAGTGCGACACACACATTTACACATACACGTACGGACACTTAGATGCCCTCATAAGTGCGACACACACATTTACACATACATTGTACGGACACTTAGATGCCCCCATAAGTGCGACACACACATTTACACATACACGTACGGAAACTTAGATGCCCTCATAAGTGCGACACACACATTTACACATACACGTACGGACACTTAGATGCCCTCATAAGTGCGACACACACATTTACACATACACGTACGGACACTTAGATGCCCTCATAAGTGCGACACCCACATTTACACATACACGTACGGACACTTAGATGCCCTCATAAGTGCGACACACACACATTTACACATACACGTACGGACACTTAGATGCCCTCATAAGTGCGACACACACATTTACACATACACGTACGGACACTTAGATGCCCTCATAAGTGCGACACCCACATTTACACATACACGTACGGACACTTAGATGCCCTCATAAGTGCGACACCCACATTTACACATACACGTACGGACACTTAGATGCCCTCATAAGTGCGACACCCACATTTACACATACACGTACGGACACTTAGATGCCCTCATAAGTGCGACACCCACATTTACACATACACGTACGGACACTTAGATGCCCTCATAAGTGCGTGCGACACCCACATTTACACATACACGTACGGACACTTAGATGCCCTCATAAGTGCGACACCCACATTTACACATACACGTACGGACACTTAGATGCCCTCATAAGTGCGACACACACATTTACACATACACGTACGGACACTTAGATGCCCTCATAAGTGCGACACACACATTTACACATACACGTACGGACACTTAGAGATGCCCGACACATAAGTGCGACACACACAT